CATCATTTGCGTTTTCCATAGTCAAACACAGGAATTTTTGGAGCGTTGTCTAAAGGAAAAAAATGTAACATACTCTTCCTCTCTCATTTCTTAGCTGTGATCGGTGCAAGTCTGAGGGCAAGCAGAGGTCCTTGGTAGAGGATCAAGAGCTGCTTTTTCCCCTGGATACACACTACAGCCTAAAGCTGTCCCTGGGCTTGGCTCAGGTTTTGCAGTTGATGCATAAAGGAACCTGCAATATCCTCGTGATCTGGAGCTTGGTGTTTGCCTCTCCTCTGGGCAGTGAAATAGGTGGGATTGTATTGAGGGAAAGGTGGGTGGTGAAGGGGCTGCTTCCCCAGGAGCAGAGCCTGGGCTGGAAATGATGCTGCCCCTGCACTTCCTTGTGCTGGGGGTTTCCACTCTTGCAGTGAGGTTATGGCCCTGCATGCTCTAGTTCCTACGTCCATGTGGCTGAGAACAGAGCAGGAAGCACAATCCCAAACAGGCTGATCCCTCCTGCACAGGCTGCAGTAAGAAGCAGCCTCAGATCTGGACTAGTAAGAGTGCCCTGCTTTAGGGCTGGTGTTGGTGATGGTGTGATGACCTGGCTGCTGGCCTGGGGGCAGTGGCACAGTGCAGCAATGTCCTGAAAGTGCTTCCTGAGGTCTGGGAAAGGGAAGGTAGCTCCTTTGGATGAGTGCTTTTGTACAGTTTGGTTGTGTGGGTACTCAGTATCCACAGTTTGGGGCATCTGACCTTTTGCCTCCCTCACTTGTGTGCTGAATCAGCCCAGGGATGGAGAGGCTGAATTCCCCATAACGTGGATCCCCCATAACCTTGGGCAAGTTGCCTTCACTGCACAGCCCTCACCATTTGTGGCTGAGCTATCGCTTTTCTCAAGATAAGCTGGAATTGTGTGTGTTGTTGGATGACTTTTATCTTGCCATCACAGCCCGTGTGCACTTTCGGTGTCAAAGGAACTGCTTTGCTTTATAACTTGCGTGTGAGGAGGGATTATTTTGCAAGAGGTCATGGGAGAGTGAGAGAAGGTATGATCAAGTTGTGGCCTCTGGAATATGCTGTGGGATGAAGATTTGGAGAGTGGTATTTTCACTTTTCTTCCTTTCCCTTTTTTGATGTTGATTCAGAGCAGAAATAACCTTGGTCATATTATGTCAGCAAAGATGCTGAGCAGATCTGAAACAAAAGGAGAAAAGCAAGTCAGTGTTTCAAGTGCATTTGTGGTTCAGCTGAATGAAAGCCCAGTCTTGCCAACTCATGATTTGATCATCAGTGCCGCAATGCATAGTCCTTTCCTATAGCTCCAGGTCTTGAGTTACAGAAGGTCTTAAAATACACTCTACTCACCACCACCACCCCTTTCCCTGTAGGTTTCATGATTTCAAAGAAAATATAGGAAACATGACCTCAGTGCACCCTCAGGGCTGAGGTGGTGGAAGGCAATGGATTTAAAACTGGCTCAGACTGTTAAGAGATAGTGATATACAGTTCATATAAAAAGATTTTTTTAAAAAAAAGTTATTTCACTATTGGCAGGTCAAACTCTGAGCAATAGAAGAGAACTTCCTGGATTTGGGATTTGAAAAGGAGCTTCAGGTCACCCATTTGCAGCTCCATGGGTTGTGCTAAGTGGGTGGGAGTTGAGTTTGCAGGAGTGTCATGGGATCTGCAAGGCAGATGTGAAGGCAGGAGAGCAGCTTTTGTGAATTTTTACCAGCACTGTGGGTTTGGCCACATTTGTATAAATCCAAAGGAATATGGTTGTTTTGTGTAAACCAATGATTTCTTACTATTGCCAAATCAAAAAACGTGAAAAGAGATCTTCTTGTGTCTGCCTCTAACTTTAAGTGACAATAAGTTTTTTGTGTTTTCTCTCCTTTTTTTCCCCCTAATTTCTTATTGATTAAGCAGGGGGAAACCTTTAAATCTCTGTGCATAGTGGGACACTGAATTGTCCTGGCTGGCACCAAATTTGTTCTATGTATAAATGTAGGGAAGATTTTGCTTAATACTATCAATGCTGCTGGATATTTATTAGCAGGATGAACATCCCCACATAGAAAATGTGTTAATTGATGCATGAGTTATTACTGTAAGAGACTTGAAAGTTGCACATGCATTTGGAACTACAGTAAATGGTGCTGTCAGTCCTACAAAGCCAGTGAACAAACTAATACCCCAGTGGAAATAAAAAATCTCCTACTCCCATTCCTGACCTTGAGAAGAGGTTTGGGAGCAGGAAAGGTGTTTTGTCTCTTCCTGCTAAGTCAGTTAGTCCAGTAAAGCGATTTCCTTGGGAAGGAAAAAGACAAATTCTGTAGTCAGTAAGTTATGGGCTGGTTTCTGGAGGGCAGTGAAGGGCAAGGTTGGGTTAGACTCTATCAGGGATACTTGCCAGGGTACATTTGCTGACAGTGATTGGAGCTGTCAATGAGAGTGACACTGGGGAGTGCCCACCAGTATGTTTAAAACATGCTCTGTGAATTCAGATGTGAAAGAGGCCAGAAAAGATATAAAAGATGTGGAAGGAAGGAACATGGGAGCTCCTCTCCAAGGTGAGATTTTGGATGCAATGACCTGTTTATGTCAGGCTGTGTTAAAGTAAATAGGTTAATAACTGTTTTTGTTTTTACCATTAATCCTGCTTTTGATTAGCACTTATGTTTACTGTTTAGTTTCACTTAGACCCATGTTTACCAAAGGACTGGTCAGAGGTGAATTTAGCAAAGAAAAATAATAATTCAATGAATCCACCCTAATTTCAGTGTAGCCTGACAGATTTTGCAGGAATGTTGTTGCCACTACAGAGCCAAGGTAGGGTTGATCCTCCTGCCAGTGCGTGAGACAGTAATTTGGGGTATGGAACAATCAGGTGTGGTGCTCCTGTGGTGGCTCCTGAGTGCTGCTGAGCTCCTGGGAGCACTACAGAGCACATCCTGCTTTGTGGATGCCAAATACCCTCTTTGGTTTGGGGTGGAAGGGCAAAAAGGTCAAAGGGCTCTACCCTGTGCTGGGGAGTTTGTTTCTGCTGAGTTTTTAGTTTTAAATATAAATTTCTCTGTTGTTAGAGAGAACAACTGTCTTGGTTTAGTTGGCCAGGTTCTCTTATATTGAGCCTAATTTATGAGAAGATAAGGAATCCCTGCCTATACAGTTCCCTCTAGTTCAAACATAAGGGATAAAGCCAAAAGGCAAAGCTGAACTTGGGGAAGACAGAAAAGCAGTTTCAATGCTATCATGTTATCTCCACAAACCTTGCACTTCACAGTTCCAGTCAGAACCCAGCACCTTCCTGAAGGGAATGAGAATGGGAGGCAGAAAGCTGCCAAGATAGAGGGGCAGAGAAGCCCAGAACTGGGCAAGAATAAATATTTGTTATTCAAAGCCTGAAGGGGATGGAACATGTAGTGATTGGCTTATCAAGCCTTGGATCTATAAATAAAGGTGCCATGTTTATTCCCTTTGGGGCCCCATTGTCAAAGAGACCTTTATGCCCCCCTTGTCAGCCAGAGGGGATAGAAGTGGTTTGTCTGGGAACAAAACATGTGCCCCTTTCCCAGGGCCTGACACAGCTGTGGGGATGTGGGACAGGGAAAGGTGCACTTCAAATGGACCTTTTCAGGAGGTGAACTCATTGTCACTTCAAAGAATCAGATGATTTACTGTGTCTGTTTATGGGCAGAAAGTAACATCTTTATCTTTCTGTGGTGTGCTTAGGAGAGACATAACAGCCTGGTCATGTGCTGGAAAGAAATGACTCATTTCACATTGGGTCTAAGTGAAACTAATGTATTACTCATTTTTATGCAACTCTAGTAAATTGTACTTATTAAAAAGGAGGGGGATGGTGGAGGAGGGACTATTACCTAAAGTCTAACCAAGATGTACTAGAAAATTAATTTAGAAATATGGTTGACCTCAGCTTCCTCATAATGAAAATCTGCTGACAAATCTTGTGATTTTGTTACTCTTTTTAAAGCAGCCCTTGGGATTGCTGGTAGTTCAGGTGTCAGGACCAGTTACTCATTCAGATCCTGGCTGGATGATTTTTCCATTGTTCTTCCAAAGAAAGATTTCATATTCAGTCATCCTTTGGGCTTTCTGCACGGCCTATTGCTAAAGCCTCTGAGTTCAGCCCATTGCTGAGCTCTGCTGGTGGGGTGTGAAGGAGCTCTGCATGCTGCTTAGCTGTGAGTGTGGCTTCAGCAGCTCTGAACCTGCTGGTGGCAGCCCTGATGGTGCTGAAATCCTGTGATGTGTCTATGTGCCAGCTTAGGCTGATCTCTGCCTCACAGCCCCTCGTGCATTTTTCGCTGACTGTCCTCTGCTTAGAGAAAATAAAACCCATTCTCCTTCCCAGCACTATTTATCATTGAATTGTGATTAACTGCAGTGCCATATTCAGAGGAGGCAGGAAAATGACAGCTCTTTTCAATTAGAGTATCCAGAACAACCTTGTCACCTCTTTCACAATCTTTGCTTTTATTTGCAAAGGTTAAGATCATTTTTAGCAGCACTGAGAGCTCTTTTCCTTCAGTGCACATGCATAGAAGCCCCTCACACTGTTAAGCTGAGACTCAGATCACCAAGAATTCTCTGTTCTCTGGTGTCCTGTTTTTTCTAGCAGTGATTTCCATCAGTGTGTGCTGAGTTCTCAGAATGGCAGGTCTGTGCTACCTGGGCAGAGCACACTGCTGGGCATTTTCACCTCCTCCTCCTCCTCCTCTCGCTCTGTGAAGTCAATGGAGTTGGGATGGAGCTGGTGGCTTGGTCACAGGGCATTGAAATAGGCTGACATCTGTTCTGCTCTCAGCTACACCACAAGGTCACTGTTCTGGGAGCAACCCAGCATTACCTAATGTGGGGTTTGGTGAGAATTGAACTTGTGAAGGGACTAAGAAGAGTGGATATGATATTTCATATTAGGGAATTTACTTTATCTGTGCTTTTTTTAATGGGGTTTGTGTGCTTATATTCTAAATCACTTTTTTCACAAGGAAAAGAAAAGAGCCTGGGAGCAAGTGAGCTACTAAAGAATTGGAGTGACTCTGGATTATGGAGTGGGCAGACACTTTTCTGCAACTGAAGAGATCTAATCCTTGCCCTTCAGTCAGGTAGGCCGTAAAAAGCACTTGTGCTTCTGGAAACAAGGACAGAAAGCAAACCTAAGCAGAGCCCACAGAGCCCTCCAGCTCAAGGGGTTTCAATAGATTTGTCTTAGTGGCTGTGTAAGAGAGACTGGTTAGGAAGCACCTGGAAACTTATCTAATTTTCCCAGCTATTCCGGTTCATCTAATGAAGGATCTTATTTCTGCCTACACACACTGTTGTACCTCGGTCCTTAGACCCTTGATGTTGAAGCAAAGCAGTGAAAGAAAAATATTTACAAGACCAAATGGAAATATGGTTTCCTCCTGTTGTCAGTCACAACGTTAACCCAGTTCTCAGAGGACTACAAAATGTTGTGCTTTATTAATGCCTAAGTAATAATGGAAACAACGTTATTTCCATTTTTCAGGATTTTGTATTCACTTTACACTTTGTCAATTAAAAAAAATGTCTGAGGTTTGCTGGCAAAGAAACTCTGGTGTGTTTTCAAAGGCTTTGGAGTATAGCATAGCGGTATACATTTTTTAAAAATCAGATTTTCATTGTTAATTTCTAATTAAAAGCTCAGTGAAATGTAGGAGGTTTTACAGCAGAAAATAGAAAAGGATTATAGCCATAGAAAGAAGCTGTGGAGACCTAAGCAAAGTGAAACCAGAGTTCAACGAATTCCCTGCATCTTTATGAAAATCACATCTATGAGTCAGCAAAACAAGCTCATCTCTCATCTAAAAATGTTCATCTTGGCCATGTTCACAGCTGTGGTGCTTCCAGGGCCAAGCAAGGCGGGGCTGAGGCGGGCACAGCGCTCGGCTCCGTCCCACGCTGGGGTTTGGGACTGGGACCGAGCACACGGCTCCTCTCGACGCTTGCAGGGATGCTGCTCATGGCCACGGGAGTGTGCACGGAGCTCTCTGCCTCTCGTGCCTGGCTGATTAATCAGGAGCTGCTCTGCATGAGCCTGGGGCTGCTGCTCATCCAAACCCCTGGCACAGACTGTGCTCACGCCCTTGCTCACCCCCTTGGTCGTACACACAAACAGGGGCAGCTCTGGCAGTCCGAGCTGCGGGTGGCTGCTCTTCACATCAGTGGGATTTTGCATTCTGGTTGTGGCTAGAATTGCACCAGCTCTTTGTAAATTGGTTTTTTTTTTTTTTATAACATTGTGGAATTACTCCAGGCATCTGACTTCTTCTGTCAGCCTTTCCTTGGCAAAGCAGGCTCACATCCCCAGCAGTGTGACTCAGGATGCTTGTCTTGCTGGCTAAGACTTTCTCTCCCTTACTCCATGTCACCATACACCCTTTCCCTCCCTCCTAGCTCCTGGTCTCTGGCATGTTCAGCAGCAGAGCTCGTTGAGAAACACAACCATCTTCTTCGGTGTTGATCTGCTTTTGACATTCCCTGACCCGCTCCTCCGAGCTGCCCTTCCTGAGCAGAATCCCAAGCAAGCTCTTTGCCTGCTAATGCAGCGTTAAGACCACGAGCACTCAAATCCCTGAGATCTCTCCTTCCTCACAGAGGTTAAAGAGAATAGTTTCTGAAAACTTGAGCTTTCCCCCAGGTTGAAAGGGAGGAGATCAATGGGATCTGTGCAGCCCTGACACGGTGCCCCGCAGCCCTTCCAGAGCTGTCTGAATCACAGAGCTGCAGGCTGGAAAGGAACTCTAAAATCATAGAGCCCAACTGTTAATCTAGCACTCCCAATTACACCATTAAACCATGTCCCTAAGTGCCACATGTCCCATCTGGAAAGATTCAGGGAAAACCACGTGGGTGGGAAATGCAGGACTGCCTCAGGTGGAAGGATTTGCAGGAAATTTCTTTGCAAGGAAGCTGCCGGTCCAGGATGGTGGTCTGGCTGCATTCCAGAGTCAATGCCATCTGAAGATAACCAGGCAGGAATTTCTTGTCCTTTCCCATTCCTATTAGCAGCCTGGAAGTGGGCATGGAGGAGAGCCCTTGGGTGCTGCAGGTGGGGGCTCTGAACTGTGGGCAGGGGACTCGGTGTGAGCTGCTCTGGCTCCTCCAGCAGCTCAGCTGCAGGCAGGGGCTGAGCAGGGGCTCACTCAGCCTGGCTGCTGCTCCCCAGGCCACCCATGGCTCTCTGCTACCTCCATGGAGATCATGTCCCCTCTCCTGATCAGTGAAACCTTCAGCCCATTTTCTCCCCAGGACAGCACCTGGGTGATGTCCCAGAAGATCAGGGGCTGGATATCAGCAGTGACCTTCCTTGGGGAAACCTTTGGGAATGAGGCCATGGAGTGTGAGGGTGCAGCCTGGGAGATGATGAGCTCTTGTGCTTCTTTTTGGTTTTGTTAAAGGCAGTCTCTGCTAACTACAAATAGGTTGTGCAAAAAGAAGACAAAAAGTAGACACTAAATGTAGTTTGAACTAGCCAATGGTAACAAAAATAGGGTATTTATTGAAATTTAACTTAATTTGAAAGTCCATTTTAATCTGGTCCCTGGGCTCCATTCATCCTGTGGTTCTCTGGTCATCATTTTCAGGGCTGCTGACCCCTGAGCATGCAGAGGCTTATGCAGATCTGGAGATGTATTTCCATCATGTCTGTGCAGGCATTCATGTTAAAACCAAGGGTGAACTCAGGAAAAGGGAGTGAAAGGGACTAAGGAGTCCCACCAGCTCTGTTTGGTGTGATTCATGTCCTCTCTGAAGGTACAGTGGGGTTGTGCACACCTTTCCAGTCCTGTCTCTCCTGCTCAGATGAAGGCCAGGCCTTAGCAGTAGAGGCTGAGGCGGGGGTCTTGAAAGGCAGAAATCTGGTTTCTATTTCAGGCAGTGCCACTCAAACATGCTTTTTAAGAGGGCTGGTGGAATATGCTTTTCCCACAACCAAAGGGAAACGCACTCAAAAGGGAATGTTAAGAGGCAGCCAAGGGGAAGAGGAAAGGGGTGATGTGATCTGATACCCACTGACCTCTCTTGTACAGGCATATCTCCCCTTCTCCTGGGTACCCTGAGAAACACACAGCCCTCCACAGAACGGATGTTCTCTGGCTATTCTCCCCAACACCCTTTTTTCCCCTTCCTTTTCTCCTTGATCTGTTTAGAAATTCCCTTGTTTGCCTCTCTGGTTTCCATAACCTCACTGACACAGAGGCACTGAGGAGAACCCAGCGTTAGTGGCTTAGCCATGGAAGTTCAGCTCAGTCCAGCTGTGGGCAGCTCAGTGTTCGCTCTTCCTTTGTTTTTTGGGTTGGGATATTTTTTTTTTTCCACTACCATGTCCATTTCTGCAGAAGCAGCTGACACTTTAGTCACAAGGCCAGAGTCACAGATCTACCAAAGCTCTTTTAATATCCAGTTGTATGTTTGTGTGTGCTTTTTCAGGGTAAGTACATCTTTTAGGGATGGAATAACAGTTTGTCCAAGAATCAACAGTCTTCAGGGAGCCAAATCGTCTTGCAGCCAAGGTCTGTGCTCTTTCCTTGAGGTTTTGGGGATGAGTTGCTTCCCTGTCCTCTTACATAAAAGAGGAGCAAATTGTCAGAACAAACACATTTTTAAATATACAACACCATCAGTCAGAGCGTAAGAGGACCTCATTGGCTGGAAAGGAGATCAAGGCAACCAGGAATTTGGATAGCCTGATGAAGGAGTTTGGATTTAAAGGGTTCTTTTTCATTCACTGGAGCTAATAATTTTCTTTCTCTCTCTCTATTTTTTTTTTTTTTTTTTTTTAGGTAATCAGCCAGGAAGGGAAAAAAAAATCCTCCCCCTTCCTGAAGGCAGTGAGTCTGGACTCAGAATCCTATTTTGCTGTTTTATAATTTATTTTTCTTTTTTTTTTTTTTCCCCACAAAAACAGATTGCTACTGGATATGAGTCCTTGCCTTGGAGCACACTGGAGAAGCAGCCAGCATGCAGCTCTGCTGTCTGGGGTGGTTCTTTGCTCTGTGATTCACAAGTCAGTGACTAATTCAGATTAACTATGGTCATCTGATGATCAGACCCTCAGTTTTACAGCCAGGGTTAGGTCAGCTTTAATCAGCCCTGCCTGGGGAGGGAGCTCTGGTAGAAGCTGGACTGTACAGAAAATCCTGGGGTACAATTTTTTGGTGAGCTGCAGGACATTTCTGAATTCTGTATTTCTGTATTCTGCTCTTCCAATCGGTTGCCCATGTAGGGAGGAGAGGTCCTTGCAGCTGTTCTTCCTCAAAGTGCCATCAGGACTCTTCCAGGACAAATTCCTCCTTCCTGGGCATAGCTAGGTTTGCAGGTTTCCCTGTGATTACACCAGGACAGGGGGAGAGGCAAGGTGGGAGCAGCTTTCCTGTGTATGCTCAGAGCAGCAGGGCACTGTCTGTGACACCAACACAGAGCAGTTGTCTGTGAAATTTCATTAAATTTGCAGGCAGCGATTGTTATTCCAGAGCAAGGAGAGGAGGTGGAAAGAGGCTGAGGTCCAGCTAGGAGTTGGCTAGCCTAGTTCTTGGATTGTTTTCCAGGCTGTGGTTATCCTTATCTGCATCTGGAAACTGGAGTGTGTTGTATGTGTTTGTAAGAGCAAGCGGATGTGTGAAGTGTTCTGGCAAAGTCAGAGACCTCATTTTCCCCTCAGTATAATGCAGCCTGATTAGATTGTTATTGACATGCTGAGAACCTGCTAGGGTTGTTACATCTCTGTGGAAAGGCATCTGTCTGTTCCTTTTCTCCCTTCTGCCTGGAAGGATTGCAGAGCTGGAAATGGGAAGGACTTTTCAGATGGCAAATCCAGCTGTGAACGAAATCTGCTGGGAAAGCACCGTGTGCCCGCCAGCTGACCAGCAGTTTGACAATGTATGTGGAGCTGCAAGCCAATTAATATCAGTTTGGAACCATTAGAAATTCCCTAATGGGCAAAAAAAGTTAAAAAAAAAAAAAAAGGTGAAAAGAAATAACCCACAATAAACCCCTCAAAACTGCTGTATTTTTTTCTGGATGTTTTTCATCCTCTAGATCGTTGCTAACCTGAGTTACTGGCAGTGTTTGGGTGATCAGATTTGTCTGATCATGTCAGAAATGTGCAGTGCTTCATTAGCTGCTACAGCTTTGACTGTTCAGGCTAAAGCAGAAAAGTGTGTGCAGAGCCCAGAGGAGGCTGTGGATGTCCAGAGGAGGCTGTGGATGTCCAGGGGAGGCTGTGGATGTCCAGGGGAGGCTGTGGATGTCCAAGGGAGGCTGTGGATATCCAGAAGAGGCTGTGGATGTCCAGGGGAGGCTGTGGATGTCCAGAAGAGGCTGTGGATGTCCAGGGGAAGCTGTGGATGTCCAGAAGAGGCTGTGGATGTCCAGGGGAGGCTGTGGATGTCCAAAAGAGGCTGTGGATGTCCAGGGGAGGCTGTGGCTGTCCAGAAGAGGCTGTGGCTGTCCAGGGGAGGCTCTGCAGTCCTGTACCTGCCTGAGCTGCTCTCACTGCAGTGTGTGGTGGTGGGGATCTCCAGCTGATGGCTCTGGGCAGCTGAACGTGTCTCTGCTGCTCTCTCTACTCCAGCTGCTTCATGCTGGATTAGCTCAGGTATTTCTACCTAGTGCTGCACAGTGGGTTCTAAACAAGAGCAAGAGAACATGTGGACTAACTGGCTTTAAGAGCATTCTCCTTCCCAAAAATGGCTCCTGTGATCTTTGTGCCGTGAGATGGTCAGATAATGGCAATTCTCACATTCAGGATTTGCCATTGCAGGATGAGGACACACAGTCTAAATATCGGTGATGTTGCTCCCTTTGATCACAGCTGACGCAACCTCAAAAATCCTCATCCTGAAAGCTCTCTGAAGACAGATTTGTCTCCAAGAATGATTTTGGGTTCAGCAAAATTGCATGTTTCAGTGAAATGATATTTCTTTTCACCAGCTTATTTATATTCATCATAATTGTCTCACTGTGATGCCTCCTATTCATTTGCTGGATCCACTTGTCTTGCATCTTGTTCTGACTCTGAGTGTTTTTTAGGGTAAGCCTGCCTTTTGAGAATATGCATGATTGGTACCATTGGAATAGTTTTCATGTGCTTGCAAGAAGTGCATTGCTAAGCAAAGCAAGCAGAGGAGATGGGAGAGATGAGTGGAAAATGACTACTGAAGAAAAGGGAAGAATTAAAATAGATGGCAAGGAGTTAATCAAATAAACAAAGGTTCATTAAAAAAAAAATCCTCTTGCTCTTTTCTTTTCTTTCTTTGAATAATCTCAATCTGATAATGATTGCACTGGCCAGCCCTTGATACCTTTCTGTCTGATTACAGCTGGGTTGTAGTGGTAGTTACCACAACAATCTATTACTGGCTGTGTTAATTAATGCCCCTCATTAAATTAAAAAGGGCAGGGATGGGAATATTTTCAGGCTGTTCCTCACTTATAATTATTTATTTTAAAAGATTTTTTTTTTAAATTTTACCATAATGATGTTGTCCTGAAAAGGGAAGCTCTTTAGTCTTGATGTTCTCTGGGTTTTTTTTCAACTTCTATAAATTCATGTTTTTAGGAGAGTTAATTTACCACACAAAGAACTTTTGAAGGTCGTGTTCAGTGCCTCTAGCACTGTACAGAGGATCTTTGAGAACAGCTGTGTGTCTGTGCAGGTATTTCTGTTGTTCTGTGTTGCTCTGTGAACCAGATGCCATTTACCTACCAGAAGAGTGGGCACCTTTCTGGCCACTGTGTGCAGATACCAGAGATGAAGTTCCTGCATGTCAAAACACAAAGAGCAGAAAGAAGCTGTCAGTTTGTCCAGTCCTGGCTTGAAAAGCTCTGAAGGAGATCATTCAGATGTGGGTGGAGAAGGATCCTCCAGAAAGGCTGGATCTGTGAAGGAATTATTGCTTGCTTGAGTTTAGCAGAATCATGATCTGCTGCACTGGCTTTGTCTGTCATTCTGCAAGAGTTTAGGGGGAATTAGGTGTTTCTGCACTTACTGTAGAGGATAAGTTTTCGTGAGGAAACAGACCCATAATTTGGCAGATCTATTTAATGATGGGGAAAAATAGTTTGCTTACACCTAATACAGGAGTAGAAACTATGCAAAAAGACCTTTAAGGGCTCTGAAAGGTTTCCCACGGGATAAGAGCTCTTGTTCTGGAGTTGCTTTAGGCCTTTTACTGCTGTGGAACTTCCCCTCCATGATCACAGATCTGCTAAATTGCACAGTGGAACAACATAAAAACCTGGTGTTCTTCACAGGAGAAAAGCTGTTGGAAATACACTGAGGACAGCTCCAGTCCCCTACATTTTTGGCTATTATATATAATGTGGTTAAACCAGAAAATTTCCAGATTATCTATAAGCACGGGATGCAGACAACAGAAGGTGCCAAATATTTCCCCACACCCTTGAAAGGAAAGTGATGTAAAGAAGCAAAAGCAGGCTAGAAACACCTAGTTTCTCTTTTAAGTTTTCTCTGAATGCACTTTGTGTCGAGTGCAGGTTTTCCTCTCCCATCAGACAACGTGCCACATGTGCTCCACATTGATGATTACCAGCTCTGCCACATGTTTCCTGAAAACAGCACATTATGTTACTCCTCATTGTAACTTTCCTTAAAATCAAGTACAAGCTATGTGTCAGTCATCATAAATAAATAGAAAAAGCTCTGAGACTGGAATCATCTGTGTGCTGTAGAGGGGAAAGGTATTCTTCCAGTGTATCCTATGGCTGCCCATACTTCTTTACTTTACAACCCATATTTATTTGTGAGTATGGCTGCCCAGAGGAATACTCTGGTGACATGTTTTCCTTTAATCAGTCCTTTGAATGGGACAGATGAGTTTTAAAACTTTTTTTGCAGCATTTGACTGACTCCCACCATATTAATCTGTGATGACATTTAGATGGTCAAAGTCCCAGCACAGCCAGGGGAAAGGGCCAATGTGCACCTTATTTATCCAGTACACAGCGAGATACTGGCAATATTTCTCCATCAGGTACCAAGCCCTGGAACTCATAGATCTCACAGAATTTCTGAACTGCTTCTTTCATGTCTACTTGTGTGGCACTTGTGTGATCCCCATTTCAGGTTTTTGTGCCTGCTTAAAGTTCATCTGCTCCATTCCTGCAGCTTTTTCTTGCTCCTCAGATCTGGAGTTGCCATCCAGCTTGTGGCTGTCTTCACCTGGCCCAAAGCATGTGTGAGAAGTGCTTGCCCCTGATGTGAGATCCCAGCTCTGACCATCACCTGGCAATCTGCTATGCTGGAACTTATAGAATGTAGCTGTGGGAAGAAGGAGGTAGGTATGGAAATTGCTCCTTAATTGCAAGCATTGCTCTAGGAGCTTGCATTGCTGTTTTTCAGTCTGTGACTTGTGTGAGGGAGCACAAAGCCTGTCATTCAGTGGAGCTGCTTGGTGGTTTGGTACTGATCACCAACCACTGGGCCTTTTCAAATACAAAATGCTGCAAATGCTCCATCTGCAGAAGCCATAAAGTGATTGCTGGGCTTCAGTGCTCTGAAGACATTGAGTGGAGCCAGATGAGTGTAACCTGAGATCCTCACTGTGAGCCTTTGGATTCAGAACCACATTTGATCCAAGTTTACACTTGAAGTGTAGTGGAAATAGGTTTGAAGGGAATGCCACGAGTCTCTTCAGACTGTGCTGGTGAGCTGTTGGCATCAGGATGTGTGGTTGAGTCTTACAGTCTTCTTGCATCAGCTCTGCTGCTTCAGAATGAGCTGAAGGAGAAGTCCGTGGAGAGCATCTCTGACTTTGTTCTGTTTTAAACAAGGCACCCAGAATTATAAATATTCTTGACTCTTTCTGATGTTTCACAGCAAAATGTCACAAGGTGTAAATATGACACCTTGCAGTCTACTGGTGGGTTGGGGGGAGAATCCCACTTCTGCTTGGCATTTTGTTGGCTGTAGGAGCAGATGTGTGCTTGTAGTCTCAGTAGCTTTACTATTGATTTTAGCAACAAAAATAAAATATCTACAGGAGCACACAACAAGAATTACAGCAACTCAGAAGCTGAAACAAATGTTTTGTTTCTTAGTAGTGGTAGAGAATGGTGCAATACCTGGAAAACAAGTCATTAGAGCTTCTTTCCTTTGGGAAATACAGTCTTCTGCCTCAGAAATGTCTGTATTTCCAACTGCTTTTCTGTCTGTTAAATCATGTGGGTGTATGATTTGAGTCCTGAGACATAAAGGATGTAAGCATGTACCTGAAATTAGGCATGTGTTTGCTTTCTGCTGAGTAAGTGTGTCCTAGTCAGGTATTTAAAATTTAAATGCACTGGGGCCCTCACTCATAAAGTAAGCAAATTTCAGCCTAGACAGCAGTGGGAGGAATAAACATTAAGCTCAAAACAAACTGTTATCAAAGTAGCTCTTCAGACTATGTAGAATTACACTTTAAGATGGGCAGAGCATCTTTAAAACCCTTTTGCAGTAGCGAAGAGCTTATACATTAGCTTTCATGAGAGGCATTACAGATGTCTGTGAATATTATATAAACACCAGCCTGTTTGCAACAGTTTATAAACTTAAATATTTTATAAGAAAATACTGAACATTTAACTTGCCTTGTATTTTTTATACAGCAATAAAAACACCATTTTTATCAAAAGTTGCTGGGAAGCCTGACTAATAATGTAACACTTTGTTATAAACTAGGAGGAAAGTTCACTGGTCTAGAATTAATAAGGTGTATAATCTGCACAGGAATTTTATACTACAGGGGGAAGCAGCTAACTTTGGCTTTGCTTCTGCATAAAGATGCATATAATTTGTGAGAATGTTCTCTGATGCATCTTTATGCCCCTGTGGCTAAAGAGGCTTCTGTGGATTGCAGCTGGACATTGCTTGGAAAAGAAAAATACCATGTTTTCACACATGATAGATGCATGGACCTGGATGTCTTTGGTGAGTGACTTTCCTGCAGGAGGCAGAAAATGGCAAGTTTTAAACCGAAGCATTTTCTGCCCATTATAAGTATCAATGGGAGCTGCGCTCCCAAAATGGAAAAGTGTAAAGCAAAGTTTGGGACATAACCCTTGTTTTCTACAATTCGCCTTAACATTTCCAGCAGGAAGTCAGCAGCTTTGCCCACTCCAAGCAGAGCAGTTGTGCACTGTAAATGAAGCACCATGCAGGCTGCTGGGGGCTTTTAACACAGATTTATCAGGCAGCCATGAGTTTCAGAGCTATCAGACTTAAGCAGCAGCTGAATGGAAGTTTGAAAATCACAGCTTGAAGGAATACTTAAAAGGAGGAAAAGCTTCAACTTCTAATTCTTTTCAAATCCATACTTTGTTGTAATCAGTTTTAATTTTTTATGTCTTTGCTACTGATTATTGTTATTGCTCTGATTTTACTGATTGATTTGGTTATTTTCATTGTTTTTATTGGCCAAATATCTTTATCAAGATTGGCCTTTAATGCAACGTTCACTTGGCTTTCAGTAGAAATTCAACTTCTAATTTTGTAGGTATTTAAGTGGTTGCTTCCTTTCTGTACTCTATACTAACAGCTGCCCAAGGGTGTTGTTCCACACCCTTGACACAGTAGTAGAAATTCTTGGCCCTCTCTAATTGCCACTATTGATGAAGTGATTGTGTGCAACAGCAGGAGAAAATTCTCCATGATGAGTAAATTCCTATACTTTGTTTTCTCCAGAACACAGCAACCCATCTAGGATGTAATTCCATTTGCAATCCTGAATGCCTTTTTTTTTACTCTAAAATTTGCATAGCAGTTGGTCAGTTAGAGCAGAAGAATAAACAATATCTGAGATTTTGAATTATTTAGGAAATTACCTTTACTCATGGAGTGATAAGACTGTCCCTAAATGACCCACCAGCACGAGTTGTGAAAGAATGAACTTCTTGTCCCTTAAAAGGAGACCAAGGATCTCCTTCACTGCAAGGATCCAGATTTACAGGGTATTTGTACCTCTTAATTCTTCCAGGAATCATGGAACTGGCTTTGCTTAATGGAAGATCATGTGTGTTGAAAGGGAAATTCCTTTCAGATCTACACAGACATCAGGTCAAAAATTTGTACTGGCCAAAAATGTTATTGCAGTTGACTAAGGTAGGCTGAAAAATGGTGGCCAGGAAAATGCACACTCTGGAATAAATGATAGTGCTGATGTGGCCAGATGTCACACATATGTATGTCAGTATTCATTCTCACAGTTATTTCCACTTTCCATTGGCATAAACATTGTAGAAAATAAGGTTAGCACTTGTGCCATCTACAGAGCCAATGCCAGTGCCAGCCAGAGCTGTGCAATGTTTTGTATGTTTTTCCTATAGCTTGAACAGGAGTGTGGCTTCCTTAGAGCATGGAAATGTTGGAAGATCTATAACCAGGCTTGTCCCTGCTGCTTGAAGTGTTCTGCAGGCAGTTCTTTTCTGTAATTTTGTATCTGTATTTTTATTTGGAATAATTCAGCAAGCCATCCAGTCTCTTTTGCTAATGATTATATCAAGCCACCTCTAAGCTGTGAGGTTGCAGTGGGTGAGAAATGGTCCTTTATCCCCACAAGCTTTCTTATTTTTTAGCAAGGTTAATGAGCTCCATTTGAGTCGTTGGAAGCTGAGGCACTAGATGACTTGGCCAAGGACATACAGGAAATTTGGGATGGAGAACCAAACATATGATTGCTGCTGGTTTCCAAGCCAGTGCTCAAACCACTGGGCATCCTTCTTAATTTCCAGTCTTTTCTGGCATTGCTACCAACTTTGTGGTCCAATTCCTCAACCACGTTGTGCCTCTCCTTCACTCCTGTTGCACATAAATCCAGCCCCACAAGGTAACATATCAAAGTAATCAATAGGTACGTAGCAATTTCCTCATCCAGTTTCACTTCTTCACTTCATGACTTCCTCACCAACAAATTTATTTCTTGCTTGGAGCATTTCACTGAACTATTTCTATTCAAAAGTATCTGTTTGCACTTTGCTAAGCCTCAGACTGAACATCTTTGATCCACCCATTTCAAGATTAGATGGATGACAGAACCCAAACTCTAGCTCCAAAAACATCCATGTTTTGGAGGTATATTCAAAGCCCAAGCTTGAATTTGGCTCTCAGTGTGGTTACTTTGATCTGTCTTCAGATCTGAATGCCGTGTCCTGTGACATCTCTGTTTCCAGCACAGAATCTCGTGTTCCTATCAGTGTGAGAGCTCTGGGACACGATGGGTGCTCCGTGCACCCCGTGTGGGAAATGGCACCAATGGATCCTCTCAAATTCCATTCCGGCTGTGTGTGTGTGCAGTGGGGTTTTCTCAGAGTTGTTGTTCTGTTCCTCACCTGGAGGCACAGGGAATTTGGCCCTTTGACAGAGGCAAAATTGCAAGAAATCCCACTGTTGTGTGGCGTTCTCATTACACTCTCCCTCTTGCCTGTTTTCCATGCAGCTGCTTCCCACTTCCTAGAAATCACATCAGCACTGCTCCTCCTTCTTTATCTCCTGTCCCCACACGATGAGAACATGGTCTGGGTTTTTTCCCCATGGATGGGAAAGCCAGGGCAAGCTTGCTACTGTGGTCTTTTGCACTAACAGAATTTTGGTGCAATTCACTCTTTCCAGGGAATTATTCTAGATTTATTCACCACAAAGCATCCAACCATAACAACTCAGTAATTTTAAGGCCTAAGGAAAAAATGTAACAAGATGTTCAAAAATTTTGGTTTGGGATAATTGGGAGTTGTTTATATCCTTGTGCTGCTGATTATGTTGTCATATACCACCATTACTGGTGTCCTCAGGAACAGGATTATCTTTGCTTGGAAACAAAACCTCCATTTTAACCACTTAAATGCTGGGTAATGTAGCTGATAAATGGGAAGAAAAATACTTCCATGCTGTTACTGGATATATGAGGCACTCAAAACTCATAATGATGAGGGTTGACTAAACAGATAGATGGACAAGTGAAACACAATCACTGTAATTTCTCTGAAAAAATGAACAGGACACCACAATTTTTCTTTAGAGTATTTAGAGCAGAGTCTCCCACTGCTCAGTAGAATCAGTTCTTCTCTTTCTTGGTTTGAAAATAACTTTCTGTGCATTCAGATCATACCAAGCTTTCCAAGCTGCATCTTCCTGGGGTTTTGTACCCTCCAATTATTTCTGCTTGCATCTGGAATTCACATCTCTGGGTCATGGTTATTCCCCAGGCTCACTTGGAATGCCAGCATAACCCATGAAGTCCAATGAATAATTCTAGTAATGGAAATGGGTTGTAGAAGGTATGGGGCTTGTCAGTCCTGCTTCCCCTCAGCTTTCCTGGGACAGCTGGAACTGGTATTTCCACTGGAAAGAATTGTGCTGAATGGACTGGGGAATAAATATTATTTGCAGTGCTTTGAGAGTTAAAAAGAAGGTTAATTATAAATTATATTTGCAGTCATGAGATTTTTTAGATTCCCAGAGTGGCATGTGTAAGCTTTCTTGTGAATTTTTAAATTTTTTCTTATTATTATTTTGTTGGGCATGTTCTGTTTGCTTTAAGGTGCTATCAATAACGTGTACAGTAAATTCTAAAGTTTTGAGCACGTTTCCAGCAAATCTTGAGGATTTCAGCACTCATTTTCCTCTGATTTCATGGGATATGGGACTTGGAATGCAGCAACTTAGATGTACTTTGTCAAGAGAAAGCATTGTCTGCATCCAGAGTTTTCATAACATCTAATTTAAAATGCATCTAGGATATTTTAAGGAAAAAAAAAGTCTCAGAGACTGTAGAGAGGAAAACGAGCCATTTCCTTAGCTTGAACCTGCATGAATTAGTGGTAAAGTGTTGATCTCTAAACTTGCAGTTTCTGAACCATAAAATCTGTTTATTTCACCCTATAAAAGAACATTTTAACTTATATGGCTATTTAAGTTTAAAAGCTATTAGAGAAGTGGGTGGGGAGAGGCAAAGAAGCAGCTTGAATCAGTAATTCAAGCTTGCAATACAATCTTCATCTGCTGCATAGCTTGCATAGAAATCCCCTTCAATGTGGATTTTCTGTGCTTGCAGCAGTCCCACCATACAGGAAATATACAGTATATATTTCCAACATTATCCATAATTGTAGTAAAGCTTATAAAGCAACCCATTCCTTGTGTGTTCCTGGTGATCTGCAATAACTGGATATTCTCAAGTATGCATTTAAAGGAGGGAAAAGCATAGAAAGAGCTGGCAGAAGTCATCTGCAGTGACTTTCCAAAAGGAGTTGGGGAAGGTCTTTTTGTACCTGCTCTCACTGCAGGAACAGCAGTGGCTTTGATTGAAAACCTCCACACCTGTGCTTTCTTTTGTATCTGAATTTCAGGGAGGTTTTGTTTGCCTATAGATTGAAAATGCTGGGGCTAAAACCGTGTGGATCCAGCACCTCCTCGGGTGGACAGGACAAGGTCACAGCATCCCAGGAGAGATGGGACTGACAAGGAGGGGATGCTCCTGCTGTAGGCAAGGCAGGGGTGGAGGGAGCCTGGATCCTGCACCCTCCTGCTACCCTGTGCCTTGGAGAATCCTGAAGAAAGCAGAGGGGGCTGTGTGCGGATTCAAATGTGAGGTGAGTGTTTGTCCTTTGTCCCACAGAGCAGCCTTCTGCAAAAGGGAAGAGAGGTTTTGAGTCTATTCCTGCAAATTTGGTAGCAAATTGTCAGTGCTTTGAGAGGTTGTGCTTTGCTCGAGCTGTGCAGGCCTCTTCCATCCAACTGTCCCTGAACTTGCAGTACCTTTCCAAAAATAGTTCAAAGTGTTAACCGTGAGTTCCCTGAACTGTGGTCCTACCAGTTCTGTATTTGGTTCACCATTCCTTTGAAAGTATTCATCCTTCCCCTCATAAAACTTAAATCAGCTTGTTCTTTGGTCCAAGAGTTGACATCATTATGATGCTACATCCTATGTAATGGTGTGAGAGCTGGAAAAGCATTCACAGCAAAACCACGCGGTGAATTGAATTTGCAGTCCTCAGCCCTTGCAGTCTGAGCTCCCTCCTGCCCTCATTTACTTGTACTTTTAAAACCTGTGCAGGTCCTTGGAAATACCCCACGATAACAGCAGCACAGCCCTAAGTATTTATCAAGGGTCTTTTTAATGTTTCCACGTTTCTTTCCATGACCCCACTTGTTTTACAATGTTTGGGAGAGCAAAAGTGATTGTTTTACCAAATTAAGCTAGATTTCTTGCCAGGAACAGCAGATAGAATCTTGTTGACAGATTTGGAAAATATTATTTCTTCAGTACCTTTTGAATTATTTTTTTAAGTGTGTCTGCCATGCACTATTTCCAAAATCAGCCCACATTTAACTGTTTAATATTATACGGCGACAGGGACAAATTAGCACCTTTCATTTTCCTATCAAAATTAACACATCCCAAGAAGACATTTCAAGAGCTACACATCTCTTATTTAGAAATAAATGGAGGAATCTACTTAAATGTGTTCACCTCAAAATCTAGGCACAAATAAATTTTGAGGGATTTGTCCTTGATTTCAAACACCTCTGAATTTTGCCTATTTTCATAGAATCATAGAAAGGCTTTGGTTGGAATGGACCTTAAATTTCATCTAGTTCCAACCCCCTGCCATTTTGCTTACATGTGTTTGGAGTTACCTTTTCCTCTCCTGTTTTTCATATGATCATTTTTTCTTTCTGGTGGAAAGCTTTTTTTAGAGTCTGAAACACATCTCATGCCTTTGCTCGAGGGCTTCCTCACAGGCATGAGATGGTGTTTTGTTTTGTTTTGTTTTTTCCTCCCTCTTTTCATGCCTAACTTGCCCTCTGGGATTGTTTGTTCTTCCCTCTTCCTCTGGAGCATCTGGAATGGGCCACAGCTGAAGCTGGGCTAATGGGCAGGGGGCAGAGTTGCTTCTGGTGATAGAAGGAAGCTCCTCCAGCTCCTGGCTGGTGTGCATTGCCCCTGGTCACATTGGCAGGGATTGCTGCCATTTCCTTATTGCTGTGCCTCTCTCCAGCAAAGGACACAACATCCTCCCCAGGCACTGCTGGTATTCAAGGCTTTTTGTCTTTTGTGCTAAAAGTCTGAAATTTGTTATAAAATATTAGATCTTCCTGCGTGGCTTGTGTTTAGGTTGGAGTTCTGACTTTAGCACCAAGATATAGCAGAGGGAAAATGAAGTAGACAGTGTTTAGAATTGTGTGGTGTTGGAGAGTGTGATGCTAAAAATAAAGGAAATACACAATATTAAAGTGTTCAGGAAATGTTTAGTTGCATACTCCAGGACGTGATTTAGTGGTGGACCTGACAGTGCTGGGTTAATGGCTTCACTCCACAATCTTGGAGGTCTTTTCCAACCTTTATGATTCTACAGGGCCAATTTTGCTATCATGGGAGGTGAGTCTCTAGATCATTTGTGCTCACTGAAGCTGCTATTCACTGTAGGTACAGATTCATATTCTTTCTGCCAGTTTTGGTCCGTGCAGATACCTTGGGTTAACAGAACAGAGCACATGAATCCAAGTCAATATGTCTGTGTATTTCACTTTTCTGTTTGAGAATATTAAGGCCAGATTCTCATTTATACTAAGCCCACTAGCAATATTCTGGCAACAGAAAGATGCCTTAGCAGGAATGTAAATTAAAGCCTCTTTATACTTTTACTAGTGTTTGTAGTTTCACTTGGCTGCAGTACAGGAATGACACATGTCTATTCAAATGCCATTTGCCATCCTGTTGATGGTTGCTGATATTCTTTGTGCCACTACCCCCTAACTAACTAGACCACGAGTCTGCTGCAGTCAGAGCTTTCCAATTTCCTTAAAATGTGTTTGGTTTTTTTTTTTTTTTCTTGAAATGTCTAAACTAGGATTTAAGATTAAGGCAATTTTTTCTGTCCTTCCTTCGCTATATGATGACCCTGTTTGTGCCTTCATGAACCTCTACTAAATGTCCAGTTCTGCAGTGTCCAGACAGATTATTCTTTCTATGTCTGTGGCTTAAATTGAGGAGAGGTTTCTCCATCTCACTATGCCTTGTACAATACTGAACACATTTTTATTTGCTGCATTAAGAAAAATAAAACCTGTATTAGGAATAAAACCTATATTTTCAGCTATTGGAGCAGGAACCTTAAGTATTCTACATTAAATCACCCCAGCTTATACATGCTCAGGTTCATTTTTATTTCTGTCCGTGTATATCCTGTCTACAAGTGCCTCAACTTTCAGATGGGAAATTATCCTCCAAAAAGCCCAACAGTTTAAGGAACAAAGAAGTGAGACCTTAAGTACAAGGCTTGTAGGGAAGCTACATGTGAGACATACAGACTTAGGAAAAGATGTCAATATCAGCATCTACTTAATATATTTCAGTAAAATACTGCTTTTGCAATGTTTGAAAACATGATGTAAGTATTTTATTAGAGCTACAACTGTAAATCTGACTATAAGGTCTTGTGATAAATTACCACATATTCAACAATGCCGGCTCCAGAGAGCTTTGGGAAAAAGCCTCTAACTAACACAAATTGAAAATGAGTTTTTGCTTGCTTGAAATTTCTGCTTTTTTAAAAATAATTTTTTTAAAGGGATCACTGAAATGACCATTGCCTTGAGACTGGCATAGAAAAAATTATAATGCTCTTCTCTCTCATGGAAATCTGGAGCTCTCCAGTAATTTAAGTCTCCTATTCCTTCCTTTTAATTTTCTAAGGTCTTAGTCCAAAACTTGTCTGCAGCCTCAGAGTGACAGCTGATTTTAGTCAGAGTCAGAATTTATCCCTATTGATATTAAATTGAGAAAATTGTGCACAAAATAAATAGAAAGGAAAGATATGTCTCCATCAAACTAAAATGACAGTATTTAGAGCTGCTAAGGAGTCAGATCTTAGAATAATTTATGTTGGTGAGAAAGCTTAAGGGTCTCAGTGCACATAAATTGGCTCAAGGCTTAAGAAAAGCAAATATTTATAAGATTCTCTAATTTAGTAAATGGATTCTTAAAAATTAAGAGCTGAGTAGCCTCCCCGTGTATATAAAAAACGAGACAGCACTCTGCAGACCTCCACAGATCATAACATGTAGTGCAAAGCATTTCTGCAGAAAGCTCTTATCTCCTTGATGCTCTTAAGTCCTCCCCAAATCTTCCCAGGGATGTTGCGAGTCTTTGCCACAATGCTTTCTATCCAAATGAGCTGTTCCCTCAACTTCTCCTTCACCTGAAAGTATATTTTTCTGCATTTCTAGAATAAATGTTCTTCTTTAGTTATTGGGTGACTAGAGGAATTTTCTGAGTGACTGCGAAGATAAAGATGCCCCTTTTTGAGAGCAGCTTGCACAAGGAGCACTGAACAGGAGCGCTAGAATTGAATGTCTGGTTGTGTCACCAGGGCTCAGCTGTCACCAGTTGTTCACTCATCACGCTGCATTGCTATTTTCTGAATGATAAAATATTCCAAACTCCAAAAAAGTCATAATTGGACAGTGTCCAGACAGAAAGGGACCTGGGGGTGCTGGTCGACAGCCGGTTGGATATGAGCCAGCAATGTGCCTCAGTGGCCAAGAAGGCCGATGGCTCCTGGCCTGCATTAGGAATTGTGTGACCAGCAGGAGTAGGGAGGTCATTCTTCCCCTATACTTGGCGCTGGTGAAACCACACCCTGAGTGCTGTGTCCAGTTCTAGGCCCCTCAGTTCAGGAAGGACATTGAGATGCTTGAGCACATCCAGAGGCTGGTGAGGGGCTTGGAACACAAGCCCTATGAGGAACGTCTGAGGGAGCTGTGGTTGTTTAGCCTGGAGAAGAGGAGGCTCAGAGGTGACCTTATTGCTCTCTACAGCTCCCTGAAGGGAGGTTGCAGACAGGTGGGGGTTGATCTCTTCCACCGGGCAGCAACTGGCAGAACAAGAAGACACAGCCTCAGCTACGTCAGGGAAGGTTTAGGTTGGATATTAGGAAAAAAAATTTCACTGAAAGAATAATAAAATACTGGAATTGTCTTCCTAGGGAGGTGGTGGAATCACTATGTCTGGATGTGTTTGAAAAAAGACTGGACATGGCACTCAGTGCTATAGTCTAGTTGTGGTGTTAGGGCATAGGTTAGACTTGATGATCCTAGAGGTCTCTTCCAACCTCATTATTCTGTGAGTCTGTGAATTTAAGGAGCAAGAAGGTTTCTGTGGAGTGTCTGTGCGAAGAGGGGAGTCTCTCTGAAGGTGGAGGTTTCTCCCAGGCCTCATTAGTCGGTGCTGGCTGGCAGGGCAGGGGCTGTGGAGCCGCTGACAAGGAGGTGATGGAGTGTCTGCTGGAGCCGTGAGCTGTGGGTCAGCGCCCGAAATGTGAGAACAAAACGGGCCCGGGCGCTAATGACTGTCAGGTGTCTGCCAGGGCAGCGCGGGGAATGAGCACAGGGCTCTCCCTGCCAAGTGAAACACAAGTGGGGCCTCGAGTAAATAAACAAGGGCTGAGGGAGCTTTTCCTCACGCTGGTTGTGCACGGAGCCCGTGCACGCACGTCCCATCGCTGGCACGCACGGCTCCTCCGGGGCAGGATGCCAGCGGAGCTCCCAGCACCATTCCCATGTCCCAGCCAAGGGACAAAGCCCTCTCCTTGCTCGGGGTTGGTAAATCCCCTGGAGCATCTCTTTCCTCTGCTTCCTTGCCTGTGCAGGTGCTCGCCTTGTAGGATGTTGCCTTCCTTACCTCAGAAATCATCCTCCTGATTGTTGGAATCTGTGGTATTCATGATCCTGAGATTGTAGAAAGTCTCTGTCTTTCTGCGCCATTGCAAAGAAGAAGTCTTAATCGTCTGTGCTGGTTTCAAGGTTGTTTATTCTGTTTATCTCTAACATGTTCTGCTGCCCTGCCGCAGCTCTGTCCTGCAGGGCAGCGTGTGGGGCTCTGCCCTCAGTAGGATGTTACAAACATTAAATACCAGAAACTACCTGTGCTGGATTTACAATAATGTGCCAATATCTGTCACCTACATTGAACAGTGTGTCCCCAGCCTGAACCAACAGAAAAATGCCAACACGACAGTGACAAATGGAGGGCATGAAGAAGGAGGAAAAGGACAAGACACATCCAATTCCTCCATCTTGTCCCCTTTGGACCCCTAATCTAGAATCCTAAAATTTTACTTTTGCATCTGTGCCACACTTAATTATTACTTATATCAAACACTCAGAGCTTGTAATTGATCCTGTAAGATTGAAAACTCTTTTCCATGGACAGAGATCACAGCCAGTGTCTCTGGGGGCTCTGTACAGGGTCCCAGACCTTCCAGGGCAGCCAGAGGGAAGCTCTGGATTCCCACACCTGATCTCCTAGGGTGAGACCCCTTTCAGCCATCACCTCTCCTTTTCTATCCCCAGTCCTCGCTGATACACACCAAGATTACATTTCTGCTTTGGCCTGGGCTGTGTTTTCCAGGCCAATATATTATGCCACTTTCACACTCCCCTCCCTGCCCCATCTGGCTTCCATCCTACCCCCATAAAGATTATTAATATCGCCTGCTTCCAAGCGATTTATTAGCAGGGGCCTAACTGGTGCCATTTCCCATTTTAGTAGAGCACTGAAAATAATCCTGAGGAGTGTGCCCAGCTATAAAAATGTACTTATACTGTCATATTTGCAGTTTCAAACATGCACCACTTGATAGTCTCAAAAGTGCTGTTTAATTGGGGTTTATGGGTTCTAATTAATTATACTATATAAAAAAATTACTTGTCCCATTACAGCTCTCTGTGGTTTACTCTGAAGAGCAATGTAATTTAGAGATAAATTGTCCTTCTCTATCCCCCTGCTCCCTCTCTTCCCAGCAAGTTCCAGAACAGTTTAATTCTCCTCTAACCCAGAATGAAGCTGAGAGAAAGCTACATTTTGATCAAGGGACACAACTTTTCCCTATACCCATAAACAGCTTTAAATATGACTCAAAATGGTTCCACATTCTTTCTGCTGAATCAGGCTGGTGAAATTATGAATAATCCTGAGGCTTTGCACAGCTCAGGTCTGGAGGGGCTGGGATTCTGCAAAGACTTGAACATGATGGTTGCTTTGTGCACTGTGGATTATTTTCTCTGATTTTACAGAGGTAATAGTGAAGGAAGGTGAGAATGAACACAGGATTTTTTGCTGGATGAAGGTCTAGGTTGAGATTTCTCTCTATGAACCTGTAGGAAAACAGGTAAAGGATCTGCCTGCCTTTGTGACATTTTGGTGTGACAAACAGCAGAGGATTCATCTCAAGTTAACTTTCTGTTCTCTCTTGCAGAATCGTGAAGCCTGGATTACTCAAACAAATTTTGGTGCAGTCTGCTGACTTTAAATGCTTCCTGGAAAGACTTTGTGAAAAATGTGCAGCCAAGCAGGTACACTTGTGGTTGTTTGAAATATACTATTAAATTACATCCCTCACTGTAATAAATTTGGTCTCATGAGGCAAAATATGAAATATAGTAGAGCTGAAGCAGAAAACATTGTATCCTATAGCAAGAGGGGATGGCTTTACACTGAAAGAAAGTAAGTTTAGATTGGATATTATGAAAAAATTCTTCACTATGAGGGTGATGAGGCCCCAACACAGGGTGCCCAGAGCAGCTGTGGCTGCCCCTGGATCCCTGGAAGTGTCCAAATCCAGGTTGGACAGGGCTGGGAGCAGCCTGGGACAGTGGAAGGTATCCCTACCTGTGGCAGGGGGGTGGAATGAGATGAGCTTTAAGGTCCTTTCTACCCCAAACCATTCTGAGATTCTGTTACTTTAGCTGGAAGTTAAGGAGTTAGAATGTTAATTAATGAAAAAAGACAGGGCAAAGAAAGCTCTTTAATTTACCTTTTACAGGGAGATGCTACTTATTTTTAAAATTTCATGTCATTCAAACTTTTGTGTGTGTGAGATACCTCCAAAGTTATATCCCCAGGCCTATGAAGGAACCTTGGTCACCTCTCTATGTCCCTGCTGTTACTCTCAGTACTTTAGTACTGGTTATGATTCCTAATGTCACTTCACAAATGAGCATTCACTGGATCAAAGAAGTTTGTTAGTCATGCTTCACTAATTTGCTTATTTTATAAAATTAATAATCAGCATGTCAGTTGCTGGAAACTTGGATCATCCTGGGTGTCCAGATCAGTCTGCTTCATGTGCTGGAGCAGAAGCTGTGAGAACTGCCAAACAAAAAAAAAAAAAAAAAAAAAAAAAGAAAAAAGGAACACCACAGTCACACACACATTACTCATCAATCTGAAAATGAAAAGTAACAAGATTTATAGTAAGAATTGTTTTTATTAAAGCAATCCTTTTGTGCAGTAAAATTAGTTAAGATAAATTTTAGTGCATATATCTAGTTGGTTATATTAAGACTAACTACAACCTGCAATGTTTCATGAAATCAGTTAACAAAACAAAGCCCAAACGTGAAAAAACCTGAAAATCTTAGGGCAGTGTTCAGATAAGTCCAAACAAACCTGTATAACTTGGTGTTTGTACAGTGTTTATGTTTGCTTTTACATGGCTTTTACTGCCTCAGAAAGCCATTTATGGAGAGGAAAAAATGTGAAGCCTGCTTTTCTCATGTGATTTTCATCATCCAGAGATTTAAATAAGTGGGATCTGCTCTTTTTGTGCTATTCTGTCCCCATAAATTACTCCTGGAGGCATTAAAAGGGCTTGTGAAAAACACAGTAATAATTAGCCAGAGGACAAATACAAACGTTGCAAACTGCTCATGCTGCTGTGGCAGCAGCTCTGCTGTGAATTTATAGAGCAAAACTGATGAGGGATCTCCATACCTGTGTCAGCTCTGCTCTGTGTGGAGCCTCATTTTACACCGCTAAAACCAATGCTAAAAATCCCTTTTTTATGGGAGGACTTTTACAACAGCACTGTGATTGCTCAGGAGCTGACTGGGTTACTCTGGTTATTCCAGAGGAGCAGAGGGTTAAGGAAAATGAGGAGAGAAGGGAAATGTCAGCTGCAAAAGGATTTTGCCACCTGCAGGAGCTCCCTGGGCTGGCTGGAGCTGCCTCTGGGCAGGGACAGCGGGTTGTGTAAGAGAGGAGAGCGCTGCCAGGTCCTTTCTCCTGACACATCCCAGACCACAGGGATGGCCCTACATCTGAGGGAGAGGAGCAGCAGGGGCACGTGTGACTCATGGCCCTCATGGCAGGGGAATTCCTCGCTGGCTGCTGGCAGGGCCGCGCTCAGCGGTTTCAGAGCCTTACGGAAAGAGCCCTTCTTAGCCGAGGGCTGAATTCTGATTTCTCACCTCCCTTCAAAATAGAAGATCCTGACATAAGGTTTTTTGGTTGTTGTTTTTTTTTTTTTTAATTATTTTATTTATTTTTATTAAACAGTTCTCATGACTGTTCCTTCGAGAACTCAGAGAAGCCCAGGTTCACACAAGCCCCAGCACGTCCTTCAGAGGTGACTGAGTCAAATTGCCTGTCTCCTTGATAAGAAAACAATGAGCAAAATATTCATCAGTGAAACTGTCAGGCTGCTTAACTTTCTATGGCATTTAATTAAGCCAAACCCCGAGTTGTCAGAATCTGTGGGTATTGGTGATTCCAAGATTGTAGAAAGTCTCTGTCTTTCTGCTCCACTGCCAAAGAAGAAGCCATAATTCGTCTGTGCTGGTTTCAAGGTTGTTTATTCTGATTATCTCTAACATGTTCTGCTGCCCTGCCGCAGCTCTGTCCTGCAGGGCAGCGTGTGGGGCTCTGCCCTCAGTGGGATGTTACAAACATTAAATACCAGAAACTACCTGTGCTGGATTTACAATAACGTGCCAATATCTGTCACCTACGTTGGACAGTGTGTCCCCAGCCTGAACCAACAGAAAAATGCCAACACCACAGTGAAACATGGAGGGCATGAAGAAGGAGAAAAAGGACAAAACACACCCAATTTCCTCCATCTTGTCCCCTTTGAACCCCTTATCTAGAATCCTAAAATTTTACTTTTGCACCTGTGCCACACTTAATAATTACTCATATCAAACCCTCAGCGCTTGTAATTCATCCTGTAAGATTGAAAACTCTTTTCCATGGACAGAGATCACAGCCAGTGTCTCTGGGGGCTCTGTCCAGGGGGGTTCCTGACCCCTGCCAGGGTCCCAAACCTGCCAGGGCAGTCAGAGGGAAGCCCTGGGTTCCCACACCGAGTTAATCTCTTAAAAGTCCCTTGAACTGGCCACAAGTGTGTGTTCTGTGCTGGGAGCTGAGGTGGGCTGGTGTCAGGATGGACACTCAGACCTGCTGCTCCTTCTTGCACAAGTTGGTGGGGGATATTTTAGGTTAAAAAAAGTTCAGATTCGGGTCTTTTTTCATGAGTCTATGAAATGGGACAGACCTGTGTGTGAGGAAAGAGCAGAGCTCCACTCCTTGCTCTGTTCTAAGTGGGAGAGACAGTAAAAGTACCTGGAAAATGAGGATATATTCCTGACTATCACTGTATTGAACATAACACATAGCACATTTAATAAGTTTTTTACTACAAGATGTAGATGCTACTTCAGTGGTATTTTAGAAATAGTTGGTGTTGTACTTGTAACAAGGATTGCTTGAAACTTTCCAGGCTTCTTTATTTCCTTGTAACTCTGTCAAGCTCCAAATATTCACATTAAAATTTCCTGTGCTGGTATCAGCTCTGGTTGATTTATTTAAAACAATTTAAACCCAACACAAATAAAATTTTAAGGGAATTTGGAAGTTTGAGGCAAGGGAGTAGGTGTTCTCTTGATTCAAAATGAAATGAAACTATGAAATAACTGAATTTCCTGAATACTGGAAATTTGGAGTTCTGTTTCTACATACTGCTTCAGCAGGGAATATTATAAAATACAAGTGGTTCTGATTTACCCAGGCATATGTATCCTGATTTCCTGAAACAGAAGACACAGTCAGAAGGCTGAACTGAAACCTACTGAGCAGATTTTGTTTGCCTTTAATTTTAAACTGAAAACTTTAATCATTTGGGCATAATATACCATACCAGGTACCTTTTCCCATCTTTGGAAAATTTTGACTGATTATTAATCAGGAGTATGCAAAAGTTTATATTATTATACATATATAATAACATTTTCATCCTATTTTATATATTTATGATATATAAAATACATTTCTATTTTAGTTCAAAATTACATTTGTATATAAAATATATATTTTACATATATACACATATGTATAAGGGAGACTTTTCTCCTTGAAAAGCTTATTATTTAGAAATGGGTATCGGGAAATCATGAAATTAGGGTTTCCTGCAAAGTGTTTATTTGGCTTCCTTTTGTACCTGTGCTTGGTCTAGTCTTTAATTACTTGACCATGTGCTATATTTAGCAGAGGACCCTGGTCTCATCCAATTCAGAAGGTGGAGCAGCTCAGGACATGAGTCAGAGCTGGGGACAGGAGGAGGCGGCTGCCTGGTGGACTTTGCCTGGATTTGCTGTGGAAGCAGGGAGAGCACAGCAAAAGGCAGAGAACTGAAAAGAAAATGTGAAATCTCATGGTTCAAGCATATGAATCCTGCAAAACTTTCATCCAGTCTCAGAGAAGTCGATTTGCACTAAATTCTTCCCAACTGGCTATTAATTTTATTTTGCTTTCCGTGTTTCCACTTGCAGAGTAGACTGCCAGTGCTATTTCTCCTGACATATGATGCTGTACAATGTTAAACATTCTGAGAAATCAATTCCCAGACATCTCAGTTTGGGGACCCAACCCTAGCAGAATGTTTTGACCTGAATCTCTTTGTGTTTCAGTTTGCCATCTGTTAAACAAGAATAATAATATCCTCTCGTCTTACAGGGTGTTGTTAGGAGAAATGAGGGTTGTGAAGCACTCATATGCCATACTGATAAGAGCCCTAGAAAAACTCACAAGAAAATTAGCAATTGTGTCTTCCAAGCAGGTTTGGAGTAGTATGTGGTAAATGAGGCCCCAAGCCACACACTGAATAATGACACTATAACAAAATAGTGAATATCTGCTTATTAAGTGAACATTATCCATCCTGAGGTAGAATCTGGTGGAAAACAAGGCATAATCCTATATTTAAAGAATGACTCATAATGCAGATGAATAAGGGCTTATGGTTAACCTTAGTCCTGATGTTTTGATCACTTGGTTTTGCAGATATAAGTGGTGCATGTGCAAAAGGATACCTGTGCCTAAAAAGAAAGAAAATCTGAGTTCAAAAACTCTTATTAAATGAAATGTGCAGGATCTTCATTCTGGAAAGGAAATACTTCTGGGCTTTGGAAAGACGTTGCAGCTCTTCTGTTTGAGAAAAAGTTTTCAAGCAAATGTTGAAGTGTAGCTCATTTTCTCACCTTTGTTTTTAAATTATGAGAAAAGCTTTACAGGTGAG